GGGCCTTGAGCCCGGGCGGGAATTTAGGCATAGGCTGGGCTTGCTCAGGGTCAGGGCAGCCCCGTGTTGTGTGCGCTTCTTCCAATGCTCCTACCTGCCTTGGCTGTCCTAGCGAGACAATTCCCCCCAGTACCCAACCTAAGTTTCCCGTGCTGTAATTTAAGACCATTGATCCCCTAAGATCAATGATCAATGGCTTTTAATCAAATAATTTAATTAACTAACTAATTAATATATTATTAATTATACTATATTGTTAGTCGTAATGTAATTATTAATACAATACTTTAATAATACATTTAATTAATTAAATGCTCTAAAATCACAGCCACAGAAAATGGTGCATCTTCAGCTCCCACATCACCATCCTTCAGGTATTTGAAGCCCTCACCACCCGCCTCCCTCTCAGTCTTTCTTTCTTCCTACTAAATAATCCTAGCTCTTTCAGCCTGTTCTCCTAAATTATGCTGGGGATTTATGCTTATATTTAAGCCTCAATAACCAGAAGCTTTAGCTTATGGGCTGCTGGGCTAGATGTCTTAACAACAAACCCAATTCCAACTGAATCAAAAATGTTGACTTTGCCTGGCTTCTTTGGTGATTTTTTTGTGTATGTGGTTTTTCTTTGATTGTCCATTGAGGCATCTGCAAAATACAGTTATTTATGTACACTAAAAAATAGGCATTTCACATGTAGCAGCTCTTTTTGGAGCAAAAATTTCAGATCCCCAGCCACAAAGCAAAGTAAATATTTTGCCAGTGAAGTTTGCTTGCTGAGGAAAATGGCACTGAGTCTGCCTAGATTAAATTCCTGAACCATGTTTGCACACAAAACTTTTAATAGTTTTGTACTATTAAAGCAGTACTTTTCTATGTCAGTACTTTTCTACAGTGCTAATGGCACAAACCTCTCTCAGCATCTCACCTTATCTACAGAAGCAGAATTCAGTCCGCTAATCCACACTGGGTTCAGTGTTCCCTCTCTTATCCATCCCACTGAAATCAGTGAGAGTTTTGAGTAAAAAAGGCAGGCAGGATTGAGTCCTTAATAACAATGATGCAGTTACCTTATTATCCTCAGTCAGATAGTAATGCAGAGTGGTGCATTTGCAGATTACAAATGGTTGGCTCAAAAATGTGTTCTCTGCATAGGATCTCCTTTGTGTGAATAACATCCATATGTTTTTTAGCCTGCTCTGAAACCAGAAAGGGACAAGTTTTGAAATAATAAGCAAGTGCAAATCTATTGACTTGAGTGGAACAGCGCACACTTCTGCAATGTCTCATTTTGCCCCAGTACGTTTACAAATGGGAAGTGAACTGGCTAGAGAGCTCTACATCTCTTCAAAAAAGAATCAAATAATTTTAATATGAAAACTACCTCAGGCCATTTCTGCTAATGCTAATCAGTGTGGGGAGCTGGTTGGAAGGTAATTTTTGAGGCAAGATGGGGAAAAGAAAAGCATCTATATCACAGTAGAAACATAATTTGATGTGGATATTCACTTGAGTAAAGAAATTTAATTTATCTAATTTAAATACACCACGCTCTTTCTGTTTGCTTTCCATTCATATTCTAGCAAAGGGATATTCTGGCAGGAATAATCCCCAGAAGAACTTTAGAGAGCATTCATAGGAAGCAATTTCCATCTTTAAATTTTAGCATTTTGCCTTGAAACCTCAGTTCTAACATTTATGCTCATTCAGTCAGGGAATAAAGCAATGTCATGCGAGAGAGGTTTATGACACACATTTCAGATTCTGAATATCCAATACCAAGTCAACCCAAGGATTACTCACAGAAAATATGCAGCAAATCATAGTTAACAAACACAAAAACTGCTAAAACTATCCAATACATTATTGACAAGGAATCAGTTGCTCGCACAGCTTTGCTTATGTAAGGTCCTCAATAGAGATGCTCTCCTGAATAGTGTCTTAGATGACTGCCGGACAAAAAGGATTTAAAGTCCCAGTGAAATACTCAGATAATACCACCACTAAAAATTTAATTTTCAGGCCACACTTTTCCAGTAGCCTAGAAGAACAAAGTTGTCATTTAGCTAAATTAGTGAATCCGATTTTGAACAGAAAAAATCTCCAGCTATAGAACAAAAAGTCTATAGATCAGACATACGTGCATACATAGTTATTAGAGCAAGGCTGTAAGTGTTCAATCATGATACTATGCAGTATTATTTATTGACATAGCACCTATGAAGCCTATGCTCTTTACACTATAAATATATAATAAAAAAGACAGCCCCTACACCAAACCCTGAAAGATTTTGTAGGATCCCCCAAAAGTGGTGCACAACATCTTACTACAGCTACTTATAGTTAAAGCACACCTTACAAAGGAAGGAGACTCAAAGACTTACAAGTCTACCATAATCTCCTGAATCTAAAATCTTCTGGGACTTGATACTCTGTTCTCCTCTGGTTCATCATATCACTTAAATTCCTAAATATTTTACTGGGGAAGCCTAACAGCCACAAACATTAATATCTGTGGCTATGAGAACCCTATAATATGTCTTTATGTAATTACATTTTTCATTTCTATTAAATGGACAAATACCTATTCAAGGGGGATGTATTTGAAGGCAGGCATGTATGTGTATTTTTTGTATAAAAACAAATAAAGGATATTTTTAATGTAAAAATAACTAGTTCCCAGAAATAATCTTACATTTATATTGCACCTTTCAACCCAAAAGAATTTCAGAAGTACATAATCAGAAATCACCTCTGCCATTATAGAATCATAGAGAAGTAGGTCTGGAAGGGACCTCCAGAGGTCATCTAGCGCAACCCCCTGCCTGAAGCAGGATCATCTCTATCCAAACTATTCTATACAAATCCATTATCTAACCTATTAGGAAAACTACACAGTAAACTCTGACACAACTACAAGACATAACACCTTATTCTGCCACAGGTAAAGCAGGAGTACCATGGCAGGAAAGTCCTGCTGATGTAAAGGTTATTAAAAAACCTTTAAGAGATCCAAAGAAGAGGGTCATGTCTCCTGCTATGAAGGAATGCAACCCCCTGCTCCTCCCCCACCACAGTCCACACCAATCTGATCACGTTTTTGCCATATACAGAACAGTTATAAACAATAGCAAGACTTGTCCTGAAGAAGCAGCTACAGGACAGATCTTCATTTGGCTAGAATTCAGAATAGTAACCCCTAGCACCCACTAAATAAAAGCCGACTAACAAAAAAACAAATTATTCCAGTTTCTTATATAAGAAGGTTAAATCCTAACTGAAACGAAAAAGATCATGGCCATATGCTTTTCTGTGGCCCTCCAGCTGGCAAGCAGTTAACAGACAACCCTTAGACTGTGCAGCAATAGTACAGTTTCTCAACATAGCACATCATCCCCTTTAAATTCCTTAAATAATTACTCTTCCCCACACTCTGTTATTTTCTGATGCCACTTCTTTCTCCTCTGTCCAATGAGAACAGCAACCATTTTTATTACCTTCAGAGGCCACATCAGGTATCTGTCCTGATCTTTTATGTACTAATGTTATCTCCCCTTTCATCTCTATTGGGCGTGTCTGCAAGCGCATTTGATGTGGCACCAGTTTAGTCACAAGTAAATTACTTGCAAATAAATGGTGCCAGGCACATGTCTACACATGCACAGAAGCAGGAACAGATTTGCTGCCAATTTACTGCTGCTTCCTGGGGCGCTGCAATGGACCCCTCCTACCATCAGGGGGAGCTCCAGACTCTGGCAGCCTTCTTTCAGGGCCAGGGGCTTCTGGAGGCAGCGAAGGACTTCCTCCTCCTCTAGCTTCTGCTATAGCTTTGAACTTACCAGCTGTTGGTTGTCAACCACATGCCTTAGCACCTGTGCCACCCCAGTCCTCAAAAGTATATTCAGTTTTGAATGATGAGGAAGAGATTCAAACTGATGTGCACAGATCACAAAGTAGTAACACTCCATTGCCTTAGCTACTTGGCCACCTTGTCACCAAAGTCAAATGCTCCAGGTGAGGCTTGAAATCACAACCTTAGCATCACTTCTCCAGTACTGCCCTGTAAGTACCACATGCTAAAACATTGCAATCAAAGATCCCTTTGAGGTTAAGACAGGAATTAAACAAGGCTGCATCATCGTTCCAACACTCTTCTCAATATTCCTTGTTGCGATGCTACATTTGACCACCAACAAGCTTCCAGCTGGAGTGGAGCTAAACTAGGGAATGGTAGTGGAGCTAAACTACTGAATGGTAAGCTGTTTAACCTCAGCCAACTCCGAGCCAAAACCAAGACCACCCGACCTCAATCACCAAGCTCCAGTACACTGATGATGCTCTTCTAGTGTGTGCTCATTCAGAAGCAGACCTTCAGGCAATCGTCAATGTCTTTTCCAAGGCATACAAGAAAATGGAACTGACACTTAACTTTCAGAGGAATAAGGTCCTTCATCAACAAGCTCTTAATGAGTTATCCCCAGCTCTGGTCATTCAGATTCAAGGTGAGGCTGGAAAACATTTGAGTATTTCCCATACCTCAGAAGCCATCTTTCACAGAAGGCTGACATCAACTAAGAAATTCAACATCGCCTCAAATGTGCAAGTGCAGCCTTCAGTTGCCTGAAGAAATGGGTGTTCAAAGATTGCAACATCAGATCCAAAACCAAGCTCATGGTTTATCATGCAGTTGTGATCCCCACTTTGCTGTACGGAGCTGATATGTGGACAATATACAGGAGACACCTCAAGTTGCTGGAGAAGT